CTTGTCTTGTTCCTGTTCACAAGGGGAATGTTTTTACCCTCTCTCCATTAAGAATGATGTTGACCATTGGTTTTGTATAGATGCCCTTTATTATGTTGAGAAATTTCCCTTCTCTACCTATTTTATTGAGAGTTTTTATCAGGAATGGGTGTTGGACTTTGTTGAATGCCTTTTCTGCATCAGTTGAGATGATCATGTGATTCTTTTCTTTCCTTTTATTTATGTGGTGGATTAGGTTGATTGATTTTCTAATGTTGAACCATCCTTGCATACCTGGTATGAATCCTACTTGGTCATGGTGTATTATTTTTTTGATATGATGCTGAATTCTATTGACCAGAATTTTTTTGAGAATTTTTGCATCTATATTCATGAGAGATATTGGTCTGTAATTTTCTTTTTTTGTGGTGTCTTCACCTGGTTTTGGTATCAGGGTTATGCTGGCTTCATAGAATAAATTCAGAAGTGTCACTTCCTTTTCTATGTTCTGAAATAGTTTGAGTAGTACTGGTGTAAGCTCTTTTCTGAATGCTTGGTAGAATTCTCCAGTGAAGCCATCTGGGCCAGGCCTTTTTTTGGTTGAGTTTTTATTATTATGTTTTTAATCTCTTCTCTTGTTATGGGTCTGTTCAGATTTCCAACATCACTTTGTGTTAGTTTGGGTAGGTAGTGTGTTTCTAGAAATTTATTCATTTATCTATTGCTATAAATTGTCCTCTGAGGACTGCCTTTGCTGTGTCCCAAAGGTTTTGGTATGATATGTTTTCATTCTCGTTTGATTCTAGGAATTTTTTTATTCCATCTCTGATTTCTTCTGTTACCCAGTGGTTTATAAGCAGGGTGTTATTCAGCTTCCATGTAATTGATTTTTTTCCTTGCTCTTCCTGTTATTAATTTTTACCTTGGTGGTGTTGTGGTCAGAGAAGATACTTTGTATTATCTCAATATTTTGGATTTTGTTGAGGGTTGCTCTGTGGCCTAAGATGTGGTCTACTCTGGAGAACGTTCCATGTGCATTGGAGAAGAATGTGTACTTTGCAGCTGTTGGGTGGAGTGTTCTATATATGTCTGTGAGGTCAAGTTAGCTGATTGTGCCCTTTAGGTTTTCTGTATCTTTGCTGAGTTTCTTTCTAGATGTTTGTCCTTTACCAAGAATGATGTGTTGAAGTCTCCTGCTATTACTGTGGAACTGTCAATTTCTCTTTTCAGTGCTGTCAGAGTTTGTTTTATATATTTTGGAGCCCTGTCATTGGTTGCTTAGATGTATATTATAGTTATGTCTTCATGATGGATTGTCCCCTTAATCACTATATAGTGTCCTTCTTTGTCTTTTATGATGGATTTTGTTTTAAAGTCTATTTTATCTGAGATTAGTATTGCCACTGCTACTCTTTTTTGGTAGATGTTTGCTCGATATATTTTTTCCATCCTTTGATTTTTAATAAATTCACATCTTTGTTTCTAAGGTGTGTCTCCTGTAGACAGCATATTGATGGATCCTGTTTTTTTATCCATTCTGTCACTCTCCGTCTCTTTATGGGTGCATTTAGGCCATTTACATTCAGTGTAATTATTGATAGGTGTCAGTTTATTGCTGTCATTTTCTAGTGGTTTTTATGTGGTGCTGACTTTTTCTTTGTTCCTCTTACTCTCCTGTGCTGAATTCCTTTTGTTTGTGGATTTTTTTTTCATTTGTTTTGTTTCTGTAGATTTTGTTTTTACTGAGTCTATATGTTCTTCTTGTTTATTTTGATGAATAGGTTTGTTAACTTCTTTGTGTTTACCTTGAAATTTACCTGCATCTTCCTAGGTTTGAACCAGTCTATTACTACTTGGTATCACCTTGCCTTCCTCTCCATTAGAGGGTTCTATACCTACACCGTTTATTCCCTCTTTTATTATTCTGATGTTGTTGTTATTTAGAGATTAACCTCTCTGGTTCCCTGTTGTAATTCTTTTGGTTTTGGATAGCCCTTGAGAGTTCATTTCCTAGGTTGGTATCTGGCTGGTATGATCCTGTGTCCTAGATTCAGCCTGTGGTCTTATGTTGTTTGTTCTCAGATCAAAGGACTCCGTTTAATAAGTCTTGTAAGTTTGGTTTGGTTTTTACGTAGTCTCTTAATTTCTGTTTATCTGGAAATGTCCTAATTTCACCATCATATCTGAACAAGAGTTTTGTAGGATATATTATTCTTGGCTGGAAATTTTTTTCTTTCAAGGTTTTATACATGTCATCCAATTGCCTTCTTGCCTGCATGATTTCTGCCAAATAATCCAAGCTTAATCTTATTGTTTCTCCTCTGTATGTGACCTTTTGTTTTTCTCGAGCTGCTCTCAGGAATCTTTCTTTGTCTTTGGTTTTAGTGAGTGTGGTTATGATATACCTTGGTGATATTCTTTTGGGGTCTATCCTATATGGGGTTCATTGAGCTTCTTGGATGGTCAGCTTTTCATCTTTCATGATATTGAGGAAGTTTTCTATCAGCAGTTCTTCAGTGATCCTCTCTGTGTTTTCTGTTTTCTCCCTGTTTTTGAACTCCGATCACTCGCAGTTTTGCTTTTGATTGTATCCCACATAATTCTCGGGGTCTTCAGTTTTCTTTGTTCTTTTTTCTGATTTTTCCTCAAACAAACTTGTATCCAAGTGTTTGTCTTCAATTTTGCTGATCCTGTCTTCCATCGTTTCAAACCTGCTCTTCAGCCTTTGTATGACAGTGTCCATTGCTGAAATCTTGTTGTTTATCTTTTGGATTTCTAATTGTTGTTTTTGTATGATTTCTACTTGTGAATTTATTTTGGCATTTTGTTCCTGTATTATTTTCCTGAATTCTTCAATTTTTTTGTCTGTATTTTCCATGAATTGGTCTGTCTTTTCCATGTATTTGTCTATTTTTTCCTCATTTTTGTCTGCTTTTTGCTTCAACTTTTGGAAGGCTCTGAATATGAGAAATTTGAATTCCCTATCCGGTAGTTCTAGTGCCTTTTCTTCTACTGGAAAGTCATCTGGTGTTTTATTTTGGACGCCTACTGGAACCATCCTGTCCTGTTTTTGTATATGTTTTGATATTGTCTGCTGTCTTTGGGACATTCAGTAGTTATTTTCCTCGTTTATTGATTGTAGATTTGTTTGTTTCATACTGCTTTTTTGTTTTATTTGGTTATGTCTGAGCAGGCAGGCTGTGTGTTTTTGTTGTTTGCTCATCTGTAGGCACGATACTTTTTGCCTCCTTCTCCAATGGACAGGGTCAGTCGCTCAGGTATGGTACAGCAGGACATGTCCAGTTGAAGGGGACTTGCTTGTATGGGTTGTTTGTGGCACTTTCTAGGGCCGACAGAGTGGGCCAGGAATCAGTGCAGGGCAGGTTCTGGTAGGCTGTGCCTGTGCTGCTTGGGGGTGTGATGTTCAGAGCATGGTGCAGGTAGGCAGGAAGGAGAGGGGAGGGGAGAAGATTGTGATGTGTGGAGCTAAGAAGGGTATGGGAAAGAAGAGAGAGAGGAGGAAGGAATAGGAGTCAAAAACACACAAACAAACAAACAAACAAAGAAGAGTGCTAAGGGAGCTTGCCGTTGGAGTGGAGAGATGAGAGACTGAGAAATGGAGAAAAAGAAAAAGGAAAAAAAAAGAAGGGTAAAATAAAAAAAATGAATAAATAAAAATTAGAAGGAAAAAAAGAAAAGAAAAGAAAAGCCCCCAGGGATCCCACCAGTGTAGCTGCAAGGACTGGGGAAGTTCCTCCCAGGCCATGAAGTACAGTGTGGCTAGAAAGGGTAGAGGTGTCACACAGCACCAGGTGTTCAGGAAACAGGAAAAGAAGGTAAGTATAGAGAGATGAGAAACCAAGAAATGAAGAAAGGGAAAAAGAGAAAAGAAAACAAACAAGAAAAAGGAACTGCCCCCAGGGATCCCACTGCATGGCTGCACAGACTGAGGCAGTGGCTCCGAAGCAGCACAGTACTGCCTGGATAGAAGGGGCTCCCAAGCCGAGAAAAGGAAAAGAAAACAAACAAACAAAAGGCCTGGGGGATCCCACCGGTGTGGGGACATGGGCCAGGAAGCAGTTTCACAGTCGAGCAGCATTTTGCAGCCTTTCAGGAAGAAGCAAAGATGGCACATGGAGCCAGGTACTTGACAGAAAGGAGGAGGAGGTGGTGAGAGGTGTGGAAGAAACCAAAAGAAGCAGAAAAAAGCAACACCAGCAACCAACAAATTGCACTCAGAGAGCTGGCCGGTGCGGGCGGGTGGAATCCAAGTGGAAGTGGTGTAAAGCCAGTGCTTCCTGGCCAAATGACTGTGGCCGCCAGAAGCAGAGGAGGCCAAGTCGGGGTGATGAAGGGTGGGGAGTGGGAAAGCATATATCGCTGGTTACCTGTTGTTCTGTCTCCTGCAGGGAGCTCTGTGAGACTGCTTTCCTGTACTCCCTGTTCGCCAATCTCTGACAGGAGTTGAAGATGGTGGATCCATGCTGCATTAGCGGATAGGGGACCTCTGCATCTATCTCTCCTTGCTCTTTGTTCTCTGTCAGTTTCTTATTCCATTTGGTGCCTGACTGAGTTCTTTATCTCTTCATTTGATGCTTAGGGTTTCAGAATTGACATTTGTCTCTGTTTGACTTAGTTTTTCGGATCTTTGCTGCGGAGGGACGGCGTGGTGCTTCTGTCTATAATGCCATGTTGCCCGGAAGTTCTGTTGTTTGTCTTTTTGATGTTAAGTTGTAGAGTTTTATATATATATATATGGCTCTTATTGGATATATGGTTCTTTAAATTTATCTCCCAATCTGTAGGTTGTCTGTTCACTTTTTTGAAAAAGTGGTTGTATTTTAATTATTTATATACTTCTATTCTGCATTCTTGGTGTGCAGTGCCATTCTTATCCATCTGTGCAGTCTGTAGAATGCCCCAAGCAATGTTTATACATAGCAGTACCCAATGTGTGTTTTTTGAATACATATATTTCATTGTTTTGCCTTCTAAGGTGTGAAATTTTTGCTTCTTTTCAGACAGAGTTCCTTGATATAAGCCAGCTGTCTTTCATCCGTGATTTGGGACCAAAGGGCATGTAAGTTCTGGTGCTGAATTTTTCAGAAGAAGTGTGAAGAGTGATAAGCATTAACATTTGATTTATTTTCACCCCCTGGTGATGGAGCTTCCCTGGCTTTACCACTAGCTTCTTGTTTTCTCCAACAGAATTGGAGCAACTGAGGGAATCTATTTATACAAAACAAAGCATCTTGCAACAATAAACAATAACAACTGCTCCATCCTCTTTCTCATTTGTTTATAGCACAGCTTGTCTCTAACCCAACAGTGAGTTTGTTTAAAACATGTAACAACTATGATGTGGGACAATGCCTTAAACATCAAATACATACGACACCTTCCTCTAATGACTTATGAAAGTTAACTGTTAACTCATTTTGATGATTATTTAAAAATAATTCTGTGCAAAATGTATGTTATTTAACAAAACTGAAATTTAATTAATGATTATTTTCCTTCTCAATATTAGAGTTTGATGTTATAAACAGCTAAAATTTAAAATTTTTAATATAAGAATATTCTTAGTAGTTTTTTAAACAGTGTTTTGTTTAGCCATTATTATTGCTCTTTCTTGTCACATCTTTCAACAGCAAGTTATTACCCCTTTCAAAGCTGGTATGGCTCTCTTGCTAGAACTGTATGTGAAAGGATGCAGAAATACCCTGGAATTTGTGGGGGAGCCCCTCCAGCGGTCTAAACAACCCCTGAACCATTCCCATGAGGGTTATTTGGAAATATGTGGGATCTTTTTTAGTTTTTCAGGATGCTTAAGGTCCTGCAGTGTGCACAACACAATTATGCTGCCCCAAATGCCAACAGGGCTATGTCTGACCAGCGTCCTTTTGAAGATTAACTGTAGAGTACCCAGCCTAACAAATATGGTATTGAGCTATTTGAAGGTGAAGGAGGAAAAAGTAGAGAGGAAACCCATGTGAACATAAGATGGCTTATTTAGTCACAAGTTACTAGGTAGTATCAGCTAAGTGTAAGTTGGAAAATTGAACATGATGGGTTAATTTTGTGTCTCTTTTAGAGAAGGTATGATAATGAAAAGGTCTGGAGGACATAGGATACCGGGCTTGAATTGCTGTGGCCAGGGAAGAGCCTGCTACCGATGGTCAAGAAGGTAGGGCTTAGGAGTTTTGTGTGTTTATTTTAATCAGTTGGGTATTTGGGGAGTTTTTCCATATTAGTTTTAAATTATAAACCAATTATAAATCCTTTCATAACCATGGAAGAACACATTTTAATTACATTTTTAAGTTCCTAATTTCAGCATCCACTCAAATATTCTACCCAAAACTGGACTGTAGGCAAAGTGTGCAAATTATACTACACACATGAAAATCTAGTGATCCATAGGACTAAAAAATTGGTCAGTCTAAGAAGATACACAAATGGCCAATAAGCACGTGAAAAGATGCTCAACATCATCAGTCATTAGGGAAATGCAAATCAAAACCACAATGAGTTACAACTTCACGTCCACTAGGAGGGCTGTAATCAAAAAGATGAACAATAATGAGTATTGGCAAGGATGTGGAGAAACTGGAACCCTGTTCATACATTGCTGGTAGAAATGTGAAATGGTACAGCCACTTTGGAAAACAGACTGGCATTTCCTCAGAAAGTTAAATATAGAGTCACCATATTCTCCAGCAACGACTCTATAAGGTATTTACCGAAGAGAATTGAAAACACCAAAACTTGTACACAAATGTTCATAGCAGCATTATTCTTAATATCCAAAAAGTATAAATAAACTAGATGTCCATCAACTAATGAATAGATTTTAAAAATGTGTTATATCCATACAGAGAAGTTCAGCCACAAAAAAAGGAATGGAGATTGGTAGTGGGTATAAGGTTTCTTTTTGGGATGCTGAAGATATTCTGGAATTAGATGGTGGTATGGTTGCACAACTTTATGAATATACTAAAAACCACTGAATTGTATACTTTAAAAGGTTGAGTTTTATAGTAGGTGAATTATATCTCAATAAAAGGTAAAAATAAAAAAAAATTTTAATTAACAAAAAAAGAATGAACTAATGACACATGCTATAACATGAATGAACCTTGAAAACATTATGCTAAGTGAATCAAGCCAGGCAGATAAGGCCACATATTGTTTCAGTGTATTTATATCAAATTTCCAGAATAGGCAAATCAATAGAGACAGAAAGTAGATGAGTGGTTTCCAGGGGCTGAGGGAAGTGAGAATGGGGAATAACTGCTGAAGGGTATGAGGTTTCTTTTTGTACCTAAAGTCACATGAGTCAGAGTTGACTCGATGGCAGCTATCTATCCATCTATCCGTGCCCTTCTTTCCTGTGCTTCCCTTCTGGTACTTCCAGCATTACCTCCCTTACATTTTTGTCTCAGGTTACTTCTGGGTCAACCCAACCTAAGACATCTACTCAAGGAATGGATGCCTTGATCTGCTTCATTCATTCTTTATTGAGTGCCTAATGTTTGCCAGGTTGTGTTCAACCACTGTGAAAACAGCAGTGAACAGAACAAACAAAATCCCTGCTCTCATGGAGCTTTATTAGAGCAGATATGTAGACAATAACTAAGTGGACAAGTAATGTAAATAATATAGATTCAGGTGGTGATAAGATCTTTGAAGGAAAATAAAGACAGTGGGGTAGTGAGAGACTTGAAGACTGGAGAGAGTGACCTTAGCTCAGGGAGTCAAGAATGCTCTCATGGCGGAGCAAGCTTTGTGTTGTAAGACGTATGAGAAGGGGGCAGCCAGAAAAGTTGCAGGAGATGGCTTTGTTGTGTACAAGAAATATCCCCTCCCTGTTTTTAAACTTTGAATTAAATCATGCTTCAACCCAGACAGTCTAAAAAGATATGATCTTCCCTAGAATGAAATGTGCCATCATTTTAAATTGTGTAAATCTCCCCATGATGACTAAAACCTTGGTTCCATATTAATAAGTATTTGCTGAGTCACATTAATGGGATTTGAAATAGCAGTACCAAATCAAGATGATAAAGTAGAGCTGACAAAATTAGTTTAGAAAGTTTCTCACAGTAGAAAACCATTGGTGTCAGAAAGGGAGTTACTTTGAAATGTGACAATTGTTCGTAACTCTCTTTTTGTACCCCAAAAAGCCATTCTTATCAATTTATTTATTCTATATTGATAAATCAATGTAAGACAAACAGAGCAATTAAACTTTCAATCAAGTCCTATAATGACCTTGTCTCAGAGACAAGTTGGAAAGAAAAACAAACAAAACACAGCAAATATTTCTTTCCACAATTTAAAATGTCTTAAATTAAGCTTGCTAGCAGCCATCCAAGGCACAACAATTGATCTCTATTTGCCTGAAGCAATAGAGGAAGAAGGAGAGTTAGGAATAGGAGGAAATGGATGTGCAGCTAATTGCCTCCCTTGCCATGAGACCAGAACTGTATGGTGCCTGGCTATCATTACTAAACATTTTGTTCAAAGATTCTATAGAAGAATCCTGGTCAAAAGGGGAAAAAGGTAGAACAGATTTTCAAGTTCTCACAGAATCCAGGTTTCTGGAGTCACGGAGGCTGGATGAACCCCCAAAACTATTGCTCTGAGATAATACTTAAACCAAAAATATCCCCTAAAGTCTTCTTAAAACCAAACAGTAGTTTAGCTTACCTAGTAAAGAATGTCTGCCTTGAGCATTATACTCTTTTAAGATCTATCTGTATGGGATCAAATTGACAACAGCAACTCAAGAGATTAGATAGGAACCTTAAGGATCAGTGAGTTTATGTTAATGGAGGAGAAACAACTCAGAAAGGGAGGGTGAGAATGGTTGCACAACTTGAAGGATGTAATCAATTTCACTGAATTGTACATGAAGAAACTGTTCAATTGGTGTAGGTTTTGCTGTGTATATTAACAACAACAAAATAGAATAAATTATTTTGAAAAAATGTCTACTTGAACAGTACATTTATTGAGCAAATTCTCTACACCTGGTAATGGGCCAGAGATACTGTTTCTTCTCCCAAATGTCTTAAAAGAAAGAGATGTATAGATGTTAAGGAATAAATTTAGCATTTATTTTACTGAACGATGAGCTATACCAAGATTTAATTTTTTTTTTTCACAGTGACAATGTCTGAATGATTTTTAATCTCTGGAACCCATTCATGCAGCCAGTATTTAGGTGAAATGATTTCTTTGGCTGAAGACTTGCTCTGGGCTGCCCAAGAATTATTGTAGGCACTGAGCAGTCTGTGGTGGATAAAAGAGACACGTTCCCTGCACTCACGGATCTAACTTTCTAATGGGGGAGACAGACCATAAACAAGCTGACCAAAAAATAATTTCAGATAGAAAAAAGTGCTGTGAAGAAGCTAAAGCAGGGTCGCATGATGGAGTGGAGCAAGGGCACTGGGGACAGGTTTTTTAGATATAGTAGCCAGGGAAGGCCTTGCTGAGGAGGAATATTAAAGTGGAGGTTTGATTGACAAGAAGGGACCTTCTAGGGGAGGATCTGGAAGCAACAATTTCTAGGCAGAAAAACAGCAAATTTAGAGGCTGAAAGAAGACCAAGCTCGGAAATTCTGAGGAACAGTCAGGCCAGCATGGTCAGAGAGAGCAGTAGAAGATGAGACTGAGAAGGTTCAACTGGTGTATGTTTTGCTGTGTATATTAACAACAACAAAATAGAATAAATTATTTTTTAAAAATGTCTACTTGAACAGTGCATTTATTGAGCAAATTCTCTACACCTGGTAATGGGCCCTCTGGCCAAGGTGGAGAATCTGGTTTTATTGCAAGTGGCAGCCACTAGAGGTTGTTTGCTATGCAAAGATTTAATGATTGGTTTGCTATGGAAAATGGACAAGGGAAGAAACAGGGAAACCAGACAGGAACCTGCTGCAGCTAGCCGGTGAGAAGGGATGGACCTGGCCTAGTGATGTGGCAGCATATGGGATGTGTTTAGAAGTAAAAAACTAACACATCTCTCTTAAGTACTGGGCATGGTAGGAGGGAGAGATTGGAATCAATGATGACTCCTGGGTTGCAATGTATGAATGTGGGTGATGCTTGTGCCCTTTCCTCAAATGGGAAAAGTATGCGAGGGGCAGACTGCCTGGGTGGGAAACAAGAGTTGCATTTTGCAGAATTCCAAATTCTTGTGGAATCCAGACTTTCTGGAGCCATTGAGGCTGGTTGAACCTTTGAAACTGTTGCCCTGAGATAATCTTTAAACTTAACCAAAAGTATCCCCTGAAGTCTTCTTTAAACCAAACAATAGCTTAGCTTATTTAGTAAAGAATGTTTACCTTGAACATCATGCTCTTTTGAAGAACTATCTATGGGGTCAAATTGACAACAGCAGCTTGAAAGGTCAGAGAGCAAGCTTAGGGACCAGTGAGTTCCTGTTAATGGGAAAGAACAATTTGGAAAAGGAGGGTGAGAATGGTTGCACAACTTAAAGTATGTAATCAGTGTCACTAAATTGTACATGTAGAAATTGTTGAATTGGTATATTGCTGTGTATACTTTCAACAGCAATAATAATAATAAAAAAGTTAAAATTTTAACCATTGGAAGACAACTTTATCTATATCCATACTCATATCCATATTTATATATCTATATAGCTCTACTACAATGTAACTCTTTTTTATTTGACTAGAAAATGAAAGGAGAGTAATCCCTGAAATTTATGCTCTGACCTGTTTCCTATCACTCATTCCTTCACTACGCACTGAATCCATTCTGTTGACGCACTGGGCTAAATTCTAGGAGTACAGCTACACCCAAACACAGCAGGGGCTTACCTTCACAGAGCTCAGAGGGGCATGACTAAGAGGACAAATGTTGGGTCAGATGAACCAGGCTCTGGGTTTGACTTCTTCAATCTGGGACTTGAGCAAATTATTTAATCTTACTAAAACTATTCTTTTACATAAAAAATCTTCCCCCACACAGTTTTTTAAATAGGAGATAATAATAATAAATACATTCTTCGTAAGGTCAATAGAAGGATTGAATGAAATAGCATATGTAAAGCACTTACTAGAGTTGCATAGTTAGCACTCAATAAATGGTAGCTATTGACAGTTGGGATTTAGTAGCAAAATAAAAACAGAAATGTTACTTCATTCCATC